CTTTCCTAAATGGATTTTGAATGTATGTTTTGAATATTCAAGTGAAAATTGGACATAATAAACAAGCTTTCAGACATTAGAGGAATAAAAAGAGCCATGCAGCATTAAGTTACCCTAGAGGCTGAACTCCGGTTGTCGGCAGCAAATGTCAATACAAGTGTAGCTGATGGCAAGTTAAATTGCACAGTGCAGAAAGGTGCAAGACGCTGAAAAGAGTTATAAATCTAGAGATTTTGTTGCTGTGAAGTCCATGAAAGACTTTGCAGTGGCTTTTGATTGCATGCGAAAGGTACTTGGCCACTAATGATGAACAGATTCATACAGGTATTAAGGGAAGGATGGCACCTTCCACTTCTTTGAAAGTCCCTTTCCCCCATCAAGCTAAAACACTCTTATTTATGTTTTCCATTCCAGAAAAACAAGTGAGAACTAGCACCACTTTAGACAGGCAGGTGGATGCAGAAATAGTTGTATAATTGTAAAGGTCTCTAGTCACAGCTATGACATAGTCATGTCTCAAAATTTGAGCGTATATTTTCCATGTAAATTTATTTCTCCCTTGGTGAATTACTAGTACAAGAGCATTGCTTCAGCCCTAAATCTATTTCCTGAATTCATATTGCCATCAAATGGTAGTTGTGGAGGTATAGATTAAGAAAAATCCATGTCTCTCTTTAACAAATAGCTGGTTATAGAAGTACTTTAAATAAGAGTATAAAAGCATGAAACCAGGCATAAAATCTGTGGATTCTAGCCAGAATGTCACAAATTGGAAAATAAATGTTACTTTTGAAGTGAAAGATACATTCTGCCTAAACTTACTTAAACTCCAATAGTAACTGAAGTGCTACGAGAAAGCAGAAACTGGGTATGGCATTAGCATTTTCTAGGTTTAAAATTTTTACTTCACTACCTGTGTGGCCTTGATTTGATCCTCTAAAAACTGTATTACGTGGCCGCTCAGCTCAGAGAGCTTTGAGGTTAGTTTTGTGGTGTATAAAACCAGAAAATGTTTTCTGCATAAGGATAAAGACAGGTTTCTGTTATGAGTCATGCTATCCCTTTGTAAAGTTAATGCCTAAAAAAGCTCTCTAAAAATTCTAAGTCAGCTTTACTGGAAGACTCCTTTTTATTACAGAGCTGCCATCACCCCCTCGTTCAGCGTGCGTCCAGTCAAAGGAGTTTGGTGAGCCTGTCTGTCCTAACACCTTCTTGCGGACACAGGCAATACATCCCATTTCTCTTAGCTGTGTATGGGTACAGGTTAAAATAACAACTCTGCATCAGAACCTGAAGGCCTTTAAAAAGGACTGTGGGTTTTTTCAAAAGCTATTTACATTGGCTTTCATGAGGAATATAAATGACAGAAAATGTTTGGCATAGACAGTTCCCTCTTTTAACTTAGGCTTTGTTATTCTCTTCAGCCTTTGCAGCTGATTGGATGTAAAACAAGCCATTAAAATGCGTAAGCCAGATATGAATCCAAAATAAGCGTCTTCTATCATTTGCCTGTAATAGATGAAGGAATGTGAAAAAATAAACAATTTGTAAACTATTAGGACAAAAGCCGAAAAATCAGGACTTTTATCTTGAGCAAACACAAGAGATCCTTTCAAGAACTGTCTGCTGTTTCGCACCCTTGGTTGCACGTTCTTTTTGAGAGGTTGAGAGGTGCATCTATTCCAAGATTAATCTTCTTGCCAGCTTTTTTTTAAATCAAAACCTTTTTATAACCATCTATCTACAGCTTATTAAACAAGTTACATAGGGCTGTGCTCTCCAAAAAGAGGGGAAAAAAAAAAAAAAAAAAGTAAAAAATCAAAAGCAGTAAGTTATGCAGAGGCAGCTGGTAAATAATAATTCAGTCTCTTGCTTAGTCTCTTCACTGGAGTGCACAAACACATCAGCTTCCTCCATGTGCTTGTGCACTGCAGTGAGCTCAGGGTACCCCTGCCCTTTGTTATTTCCATTTCTGCCTCTTCTCACTTTGTGACACCATACAACCAGGATATATCATAAGCAAATTTAAGCTGATACAGAAATATCACCCCTTCCAAATAGATGCCCAAGGGAACACATTTCTGAAGTTTATAGCTTAAATAGATGTTATTTATAGGGGAGACATGAGATTAGAATTAAATAATTTATAATCTTGTTATTTAATGTATAGCATAATAGCCTTAGCAATGTAAAAGAGCAATTAAGTTCCCCTCCATTTTAGCCTATCCTACTTTCACGAAGTTTAGGGAAGAGGTACTAGTTCCAAAATTGTTTGATTTGAGTGTTAGGCAGTAATCTAATTTCTAAATGTAAAGTTTTGTTTATGAAATAAATATTTCTCCATAAACATTTATTCCATAAACAAAACTTTCATCTTGCACTCCTTTAATAGCGGTACCTTGCCCTGTGGCTCCTGCCTTATTTCCTGTTTAAACTTCTTAAATTTATTTTTATACATTTCAGAATTCCTCTCAAACATTTTACATTTTGTCTGTTAGATGACATCTCTTGCCTGAATTTGAGCTAAATATCCATTTCCTGAAACAACTGTGTGCCCAAAACAGTGACATCAGCAATTAGTGATACAACCATTTTGAAACTGCTTGAGAGAGACTTAGATGCTTAGAATCCTTAACCTGTTCTATTGCAACTGCAAATACAATCAGAAACTTCATAGAATCTCTCATTTGCAATCTCACTGGTAAATAGTGAAGTAGTAAATAGTGAAGTACAGCTACTTACCTGCAGCCAGCTTTGGCTACTTTCCCTGGCTAGCCTATTATACTACATTTGAGATGATAAACAGAAGTTATTTTGCATGCTAACACTTGTAGTTAGGCTGAAAGTAGCAGAAATGAGGTAATACAGAAAGTAACTTTTTAAAAATAAACCACAACTTTTATTCAAGATGAAACTTCTACTATTGCAATAGTAAGATTTTCAATGTAGGTTATTTCTCATACTTTTAAATTTTTCAAACTTTGGGAGAAATGACTTGTTAGATGAACCAATGGTCAGGACAAAATATTTTAAACACTTTTCCTTAGTTTAGTCCTTAGTTTACGTAGGATATACTATTCATTTCAATAAAGAATTCAGCTTTTGCATCCTCAGAGTGTAAATGCACTTTATACATCGCCGTGCAACTGCCCAGGTTAACTTTCCATATTGCTTATGCACTTTTTTAAAAGATACAACATGTTCTAGAACTATAAGAACAGAAAAAGGAAAGTGATTGCAGTAGCTAATAAAAGCAGTTAATACTTTAAAACTTGCATGTGTTATATGTAAATAGCCACTCACTACTTGTCTGGCTGCTAAGATAAAAAAAAGCCGTAACAGCCCAACTGTCATCTTTGAAACATCGAAGTTTGAAAAAGTCATTTAACTTCCAACTTCAGTGAGATCCTAACATTTGTCGAAGGCAAGTTTTATTTCTTATTGATTTTTCATGTTTAGGTGAACCACTGAAGATTTATCCCCGTGCAAGACATCCAAAAGCATGTACAATTTAAAAATAAATGGACGCTTCATCACAGTAATCAATTGTACAAATAAAGCGAGGAACTGGTTAGATAGCAATTTTAAAGACTTAGATGTATAAGCACAAGCTAGCAGTGACATACCATTGTAACAAGCATCCTATAAAAAGATGGCAAAGGAAAGTCAGTCTTCACCACGTGAAGTAGCTTATTTTGTTCTCAGGTGGAGTTCTGTACCCCACTTTAAATAATAGGCTTCATAAAAGATATATATTTGGAAAGACTCCACTGAGCAATGTAAGGATTATAGTTTCTACAATCTGATTAGAAAAGATTTTCTTCACATAAGGAAAGTTTTAAAAGATTTGAAAGTTATCAAAGGCTGCTGAAAAGAAGAAAAAAAGCCTCTGAATTTGTGTTGGTTAGGACAAGAATTAATCTGTTTCACTTGCACCATGGCATGGAAGATTTAAATTGAAGTTCCACATCTTTCTCAGGAAAATTAAGTCATCCTTCCCCCTCAACAACAACAAACAAGCAGAAATGACACAATTAATTCTGAAGTATTTACATAGAGTGAAGGACCCTTTACAGAAGCTTTTAAACCTGTTTCATCCCACGCATTTTTGGTGGGAAGCAATGCTACTTCCCATTACTTCATTTAAAAACTGATTGTCATTCAGTAATTTGTGAAGCTATGGCCATATCTTCATTAGTTTCATCTTCCTTGTTATCTATAGTACATGCTCCAAAGATTTGAAGAATTCTGTTTCTGCTTAACTTCACAGTTGATAGCCTGGCCTAGTCTATTTACTTTTCCCCTTGCTTCATCAAATAATAGTAAGACAAGCAAACATAAACTGAGTTTTAACCACCTAAGAGGTATGGTTGTATTATGCATTACACATGGATTGGGGAAAAAAAAATGTTCAGCAGCAACTAGAATAAAATGTTAAAAGTTGGATTTAAAATAAGCAAGGTCACACATTCATCTATAGTAACATTCAAAGTGTACAGTCCATTGCTGTTTCATTTGAAGCTCTGAGGAAATAATGCAAGAAGTGGTATTAAAAGTGTATTGACTTTTTATTCACTTTTATTAAATAGATGTTTACATTTATGGAAGTCTACCAATTTAAAATACTATTTTAGATTAAGTTATCCGTTCTATAAATCGCATATGCTTGGAAGTATGCAGTGCTGTCAAACTTCAGTGACATTTACATGAAAAAAAGAAAACAGTTCAAATTTTTTTATTAGAAATATAACAGTATGTCACAATATATTGCAAGCTAGATGTTTATTTCAAGATAGCATGCAGCATACAAGCAGTGTTTAATCTTCATAGGACTATGTAAAATTACTCTTTCCAGATCTGCAGTTGTTTACATTATTGGAGCTATTTTACTAATTAACCAGTGAACAGAGAAAAAGACAAAACAAAACCAAAATAGAAATGATTAGGAAAGTTGTGTGCGCTTAAGACATCCCAAGGAGCAGATAAGTAGAATATCAACATCAAGGAACAACCTGCATACCTGGCCCACTTTCTGCCCACTGGAAAAAGGCACACTGTTTTTCCTTCCCAAGAGGACACACAAAAAAGTTCTTTCCGTTATTGGGGCCAATCTTCAACACAGCCTTCATAACACATCGCTTGCCATGGTTACAAAATGGAAAATTCAAGTCGGCCCACTGCCAAAAAGAAACAGGTTTTAGGCACTGTTCTAGCATACGCAATGGCTATGAATTCCTTATTTTAAAACTGGGAATAGATATGGATCTACGCGGGGGAGCCTAGAAGAAACTCCTTGTAGTAGTTATGATAGTCTGATCTTTTGTGATCACCGATTTTAGATTTGTCTTCAACATTAATTGCAGCTGCACGCATTTGTGTACTTTTAATTGATGTTAACACAGTTTTCCTCAAATTAAGGCATTATATTATTACTGTCTTGAGTTCTTCTATTGACTGCCTGGTGGTAGGCGACTGAGTTGAACTCTTCTCAGTCACATACACTCACAGCAAGGAGCAGCAGGCACCAGTTGCAGCTAGGAAGGTCAGGTTAGGTATGAGTGCAGCAGTGGGAGCAGCTGCCCAGGCAGGTCACCCAACCTTCATCCCTGGCTTTCAAGACATGGCTGAAGTCCAGACCCTAGAGTTTGCCATAGTCCTTCTTCAAGCAAGAGCCTGAACTAAATGACTCGTACAAGTCCCTTCAAACCAACATTTCTGCTATGCATCTGTTTCCCATCACACGGAAGCAGATGAAGAGCATTTGCATAAGCGGATGCTTTCTCGGCAGTAAGAGACAGACCTAAATAGTAGTTATAAACATACAGTTTATGCTCTTAGTTTCAATTCAGTGTGCAAAACTATTTAAAATTACCTCAAACTTTAAATGGATCATATCTGTCCACAATTACAGATTACTGGGGCAGGGAGGCTGCAGGAACAAGTGGTTATTAGAAAACAGGCTCTGAAGTCTTATACGTACTTGAAAGTAGTCACATCGAGTTTCTCTGGGTAGAGGACATGTAAAAAACTGCCTGCCCTTGTTTTCTCCCTCCTTTCTCACAACTCTGAGGATGCATAGACGGCTGTGTTTACTGCAGCGAGGGTGGCCCGCACTTAACGTATGAATATCATCTGTCATATTAGCTTGAGGTTTGCTGTAATGAGAGGTTACAAAATGACTCCTGAGTAATGTTAAAGGGATTACCAACACCACAAGCCAAAGAACTTTCTCCTACCATTACAATAGCTCCCTCCATACTTTTACCCACCATGACAGCCAGAGAACTTACTCTATAATGCACCCCTTTGTGCCTTTAAAGCTGAATGATTGCTAGTAGTGAATAGATAAGACAGTGTGCTTTTCTTGCACGTATTATACCAGTTTTCCCCAGCATTAGCCCATGTTTTAAATTATTTCAAAGTACTCAAACAAAATAAATATTACCACCACTATTATGCTGCCCACCCCAAATTCCAACATATTCTAAAAGCGTGTTCTGCTCTCAGTGGGGAGAAAGACCAATACCAAGTAATTGCTCCAGGTTGAAGGTGTTTGTATGCTTCACAGAAAAGTCTCCCACCCTATTCACTAAAAAGTTACATTATTGCTCCAGATCATATTTGGACAATACTGTCCTGTTCTGTGGGAATAGCTGAACTATAAACAGCTGTTTAGTTAACAGCAGTACTGGCCAGGTGCCAAAATCAGGACTCTTCCAGTGACAGCCTAGGTCATCCAGTGCTTTTGAAAGGTGAGCATAATTTTAGTTGCCCAAGAATAAGTTACCCCTGGCAGAAATCCAAAGACAACAGTGTCTGAACCCAACAGCACAGTATTCCATTCATCTTCAGGGATAAAGTTGGTTTATGGGATTATGAAGAGACTTGTTTACATTTTAGAATACATACCTGATTGCTACATTATATTGGTGAACAGAGGGGAGATGGTCAGTTTTCTGTTTCTTCTGTACGTGTTTGAAAGCAAGAGGTTGCTGACACGAGGACAAAGCCATAGCAGTTACGTGTGTTGAGCAATCCTTGTGTGTGCGTCCCCCTGACTGGCAGACGTTGGTCTGGATTTGATTACAATTGCTTTTTGGAGCAATGCACTCAGAGTGTCCATCGGATATTTGGGTATCATTTCTGAAAACAGCTTTGTTACCAAGATCTGTTAAGACAACAGTTGTAGTTCCAAATGCAGCTTTCCTATTGATCTTTATTTCTGTGCTTGGTTTTCTGAAATCATTACAAGGATACTTCATTAAGTGTATGTTAAGGGCTGCAGAATCTTCAGTTTTCTCTGTCTTTGGAACTAAGGAAAAATAAGTTATTGGTTATAATCAATCTGTGTAGGGTGATATACCATATTTTTGATCTATATTCATAAGTCATCATACAGGGAGTGAAAGAGTAAATTTACCATACCATCTTGAGAGATCTTAAAACCTGTCACAGATTAGATAAAGCACCAAATTTCTTACAATAAAAAAGCTCATGCACTTTTGGAGTCAGGTACAACATGTGTTTAAAAATAATGCTACTATTGCTTGTATAGGACCAAATGTGAATAGTACTCTGTAAATGAAAGCTATTGGAGAATTAACCATAGAGAACTGAATCTGACTGAAATACAGGGATTAAAATATTTAAATTTTTCAAAATAACCTTTTATAACCCCAGCACTGGGAGATCACAGGGTATGGTAAAAATTATCCATTTTTAAAGTATTGGTTTACTATTGACATAAAAAAAAAAAAAAATACTCATTTGTTGGGTTCTCTAGTGCTTTCAGGGTTCCCATCCTTTCCAAATATTGTGCACATCTAAACCTATCGATCTCTTACTGTAAGAGGCTTCAGAAGCAAGCAGTTGAGACATTTACTTTGCATTTATTTCCTGACATGAGCAACAGTATGTTTTTTCACATAATCAGAGGCCCGCCTCATGGGCAATAATAATTCTAAACGAATGAGCATAATTTATTAATGCCAGTTTAATTACTAAGGAGTCTGTAGGTAATCTTTCCTGAGAAAAGGGTGAAAAGAAAAACTTTGGGGTGTTCATGCGCAATCTTCGTTAAGCAGCTGTGAAGACACAGTGTTCAAGAAGAGAGTCCGTCCTTTTCTACCATCTCCAGTGAGTGTCTCCCTCCTACATCTTCCCTCTCTACAGGGAAGAGGGAATTAAGCAGAAGAAAAATGGGTAGATAAAGCATCCACAAGAGCACACTCTCTCCAAAGGCATTCTGACTCAGAAACCAAGTAACAATCCCTACAGTCTGCTCTCAACAATACTTGTTTCCCAGCTCCTTCCATTTTGCCACTGCTGCACAGTGAAACACGCTGGTTCCAGTGCATTCAGATTTGTTTAAGAAAGAATAGGAGCTTGGCCTTGTCCTTAGCAAAGGAGCAAGGAAATTGAGAGGTAATGGTAAATAGTTATCTCTGTCTACAGACTGAATTATTTTGACTGTATGGCCAGCAGCTAACTTTACATCCAAGAATTCTGTTCTCAAAAATTCGAACTTTTCTGCTGACAGTAGTTAATTTTAGAAACAACATAAAAGACAAAAAAATTAACAAAGTGAGAAGGCAGAGAATCTTAAAGTCTGAAAAGAGGGAGGTAAGCAAATCCGTGTTTAAGAAAAATCTCACATAACACTCCTATGATGAAAAAATAAGTCTGATTTTTTTAAAAAGAACTTCTGTAACAGTACTCTACCAAGTCTAACACATCTTCAAATTCCAGGCCTGTTTTCAGTAATGGCATATAGCTAAATAAGCGGAACTTAGTACAGGAGAAGGAACAAGATTTTGTTACAAAGCTTAAAGTAAAGCATTTGTGCACATGCTGTTATCTATTTTAAGGTCCAGCTGACAGTATTAATTCCAGGATAAATGTTAGTTGGTACATCTGAGTCTGCGCACAGATTAAAACTTTCAGGTTTCTGGTCCTGATTTTGCAGAATTATGCAAGATTAGCCTCTGCTGGCAACAGGTGTCACGTAAGGCACAAAGACATACTTTTATTGATTACTGGCCTGAAGAAATGGACTTTAGCTAGTGTAAGATAAGAGTTTCACACACATCACGCCATTCATAAAAGCAATAACTAGAATGAAGCAATACTTTCAAAAAAGCACTGGAGCTTATAGGAACAGAGATCTCTACCATAAAGTCACCTCTTTACAGGCTGGGAATTTGGGGGCACTTGGGAAAGTATGGCTCAAAGTACCATCCAAAGCTATGGGAATGTGATCTTTAATTCTGATTTCAGCTTATATACTTTGAGTCATATAGTTAAATTCAGTGAACTTCTAACAATAGGTCCTGGAGCCTACATAAAAATAGTCTTTCTTCTCAGATACAAAAAGCATGTATATTGTTTACAAGTATCTTTCAGTTTTGCATACTGGAGCTAGTAAAATCATAGAATCATAGAATTGTTTAGGTTGGAAAAAGACCTTTAAGATCATCAAGTCCAACCGTTAACCTAACGCTGACATCCCACCACTAAACCGTGTCCCTAAGCACCTCATCTACCCGTCTTTTAAATACCTCCAGGGATGGGGACTCGACCACCTCCCTGGGCAGCCCGTTCCAGAGCCTGACAACCCTTTCTGTGAAGAAATTTTTCCTAATGTCTAACCTAAACCTGCCCTGGCGCAATAAAGAAATAAGTTGTAGTATGCAGATTTCAGCCACTTCACTGAATATTTCACTACAAAATGTGAAATAAGTGAAGCATTAGTTTTTGAGGTAGAAAAGTTTCAATATGGAATTGTTATAGATTTAGCTTTATCCCTTAAAAGCCACCCACACACATACCTCTAGACTTTGTCTTTTGGAATATATATGTAGCAATTCAAAATGTTTCTGAGCAACAGTCTTGATCCAAATAATTTCCTCTAAATCCCACCTCAGAGTATTTTACTCACGTTTTCTACAGACAGTGAAAAAGAACACAAAGCTCCTCTTCACACAGAAAACAGGTCTCAGTGGAAAGTCTGTCCATTACTTCCCTCATCCCTTCTTAATATCTAAATTTCTATAGAGGAGAGTAGAGGGAAGCTAGCATGTTACTCATTCTATCTTCCTGTCCCTTTTTAGGTCTCATTCGCAGCTGCTTCTGCCCACCAGATCTAGATTGGAGCATTAAAAGCTCAAGTAAGAGACTAACAACAAATTTAGGTAAGAAATCCAGAATCATTCTTACTCTGAACTTGGAGGGAAAAACCTAGCCTCAGAGAAACCCACCATCCTTTTGGAAAGGGTACCAAAATATACTGCTTTTGTTCACATGAAAGAATGATAATTACTTTCTGCCCCCTGGTGATTTCTGTATCAGACATATGCTGTAAGCTTCTAATGATTTTAAGGAGAGTTGGAAGAATGGCATTTTGTCTCACTCCTTGCCCCAGTAAAAGCAAAGAGTCATTGCAGAAGCTTGTCTATAGAATCCCACCTGCACACAAAGCTGGAAGACAAGACACTTTTAGGGCTCAAGACAAGAGTTTCCATGATTGCCTGTGTAAGATTTCACCAAAACATGGCTTTAAGTTAGGTAAAGTTACAGAAATACAAGTCACAATGAGACAGTTCTATAGTTCTAAAAACTGCATCAAACCACAATCCTCCCCCGTTTCCCAGTACAGGTTCCAGACAACCTTTCAATACCTTCAGGCCTTGAAGTCAAACAGGCATCACAAATCTCGGCAGAAGGCTTGTTTATTAGGGTACAGCGCATACACGTCCACTCCTCTTCAGATTTCTGAGCTACATGTTCATTAGAACATAACCCCCTGCCATACGCCCAGCCAATTAGGCTATTTCTAGTTGGCAGTTTGCTGTGAAACAAAAGAATGATGTTAGTCTTTTGTGACGTTTCTTCTACAAATTGCCTTACACCACTATGAGCAGGGAGGCACAGGACTAGCGAACAAGTAGTTCACAGCGTTATGCCTGCCTATCACAAGCTTGGACAGCATGTCATGGTTAGAGTTTGATTTATTTTTTTTCTTTACCTCAAGGTGAAATCTTTCCTGATGCTGCAGAAGTAATACAAATAAAAATATTTGAACAAAATGGACAGAAAGTTAATAAATAACCAGTGTACTCTCCAGCACAATGCCCCAGCGTCTCTCAAATTCCCTACCATTTTCAAGTACTGCAGCAAGAAAGTTGGCAAGAAGGGGAGACTGTTTCAGTTCTTTTCCCCCATCCCTTGTACAGAACACTTACTAACAAATGCATTACTGGATGAAGAACTGTTCAGAAGCCGAACTACAGAAAGTCGTGCAATCTAGCAAATGCATTTTTTCTGCTTTCATTTAAATCATACCCATTAGACCACTTTGTTATCATAACAGCCAACAGAATTGAAAACCTTAAAAGTCAGAAAGTCTTTCTTGTGTGTCACCATTTGCTTGAAAGCTTTTTAACATTTAGGAGCCTGTTTAGAATTAAGGATTTTCTTTTTCTTTTTTATTTTTCCCCTGCTCTTTTCTCCTCATCAGAAAGAGTTCAGAAATGTCCTAGCTGTGACTGGTGAGCCAAAGTTGTACTCCAGGCACCTCTATAAATTAATTTTGTTTATCCTCCTGTAAATTATAATACCTCCTATGTTGATACACTGATTTAGAATCATGGTTACTATGGTACAGTCACTACCTGTTACCAGGGACTAATTTTATCATAGTATCCAAACATTGTTAGCATGTTAAATGTAAGTTGAACAGTTCAGTAAGATATGTATGTAAATTTTTAAGTACTGTAGTTGATAAGTCATCAAGTGTTTTTCTCCGTAGTTTCTGTGGCATTATGCACTTTTTGGAGACTTTTTTTTAATCCTAAGAATTGAAGCACTTCAATTAATAATGCAAACGCTGTACTCAGGAACTTTTGTGACACTCCTTAGGCCTATCGCTTATTCCATAATTATCACTCTCCTGAACAGGCTACATTTCTAACATAATGGTAGGGATACCCACCACCTACCACATCTCTTCCACAAGAGGAAAACTAAGGAGGATAATGAGAACTGCTGACATACCAGAGATCCTGTGCTGTCAAGAGGTAGAACAGACGTTACAGTAGCATTCACCAAAATACTGTGGCTAGGTAACAAAACAAATGAACTGGAAATGTTAAAAATGGGTATTTTCACATTAGATCAGTTGTTCTACTCAGCTATCAAGGATGCATCACTAGACTGAATATATTCAGTGTGTCATGTTTTGGAGTTTAATTCTGTGTTGTCTTCCCAGTCTGTCTGTCATATTATGTGCCTCCCCTTCCCCT